TCTTTTATTTGACATCGCCTTTAAGAAGAAAATTTTCAGTGAAAGCTCTCAGCTCCTGAAAGTTAAATTTTTTTCTTTTATTAAAATTAGGATATAGTTTCAACATGCAGAGAATAATATTCCTTGACCCGGGTCCCTACCCTCTCTCTCTAGAAATAACCACGGTCCTGAATCTGGCACTTTTCATTTCTATGATGGTTTGTATGTTTTTACTTACTAAGTATATACTAGTGAATATCAGACACATTGTCTATGTCTTTGCAAACTTTATGTAAATTGTATTGCTTTCTTTTCTTTTCATTTAGCATTGAACTTTTAAGATTCATGAATGAGGATACAGCTATAGCTCATTCACTGTAACTGTCGTTTAGGACTTAATGATCACCATCTGTCCGTTCTTCTGGATTTGGAATTTATTTTCACTATGCTGCAGTAACTTTTTGTGAGCACACACCTGTGGGTTTTTGTAAGGCATAACCACAGAAGTGAGGCTGCTGAAGTGAGGACCACAGGTGGACACGTGTTCCCTGTGCTGAGGCCAAGACATAGCTCTTGAAATGACTGTGGCAGTGGATGAGAGGCCCCCATGTTCCCTATTCTCACCATCACTTGGTAGTATCAGACTTTTTAATTTTTGCCTAGCGAGTGGTTATGACTTATATCTCAGAGGATTCGTGAAAGAAAAATGGGAGGATACATTGGGCAGATGGTTTATGAGCAACATTTTCAAGAACGTAATAATGTAAATCTTGACTATCACTGTGATGAGTTGCGAGAATTCAAATTATATTTATTATGAGAGAAATATATTTGGAAGATGAAGAGTGAAGACTGTGTGTGTGTGTGTGTTTATGTGTGTGTGTGCTGGTGACCATGTAAGAGGGACTAAGTCCTGGTCTTCTATAGTAGGAAGTTAATAAGAATTCTAAAATTGAAAAAAAGAAATTAACACGACAATTTTATATTATTTTATAAATACTGTGATAATACCAGAAACTGAAAAGCTAAAGGACTTGTGCACGGCTGCTTCTAGGCAGCAGGGCTTGGGGATGGGACAGGGGACTGCGCTTCCTTGTTGCAAGCCTTGACGTTCTGCTTGCCTCTGTTTCCCCTCCATTCCCGCCCCGTCAGGAGCAATGGGGTCCTCAGCGCCACGCGCAGCCCG